TCTTCACAATCCACCCAACCACTGGCCGAAAATCTAAAGGACTTGGCCGAAATATTGCGCCAAAATAGGTTGCTCATGCAACATGAAACGGCAAAAAATGGAGGCTGAAAACTCCATTTTCGACGACACCCATGTCACACCCATCCTCCAGGTCGATTATGCTCCTCATTGCCCTCCTATAGATGTTTTCATATCATCAAACAAAACTGAAAATCAAAATCTACAGCCAGAAAATCGGAGTTTGCGTTCGACCGGTAGTTCTTGAGTTCAATCTTGAAAATTGATCGTTTGGTGATGAATTGATGCAATTGATGGAGGACCCATAGTTGTGACAACATTAGTTGATGATTACATGCTAGAATGGGTGGATTGAAGCCCTGTAGCATCATCAATCGAAAGGGGATGGGCCGAGTTTCTTTGTGTACAAACTGTCGAGACTGTTTCTACAATTTCTGGCCAAAATTTGACAATGACTCATAGGTTCATTAGGTTCGCCTTGAAGAGGCGGTGTTGGGAGGGGTGGTCCGACATCATCGATCATGACGTCGGCGTAGAAAAATGGAGTTGAATTTGTCGATTTTGTTGTTGAAGTTGCGTTGACAACCTATTTTGGCGCTATTTTCGACCAATTCCTTTAGATTTTCGGCCATTGCTTGGGTGGGTTGTGAAAAGGGAAGTGAGGGCTTCAAGTTGGTATGTTGGTTTGACAGCCAAGCTGACCGGAAGGTGGCTGAAAATGGTTGGCAAGTGGCGATGGGGTGGCGGTGAGATTTGGGAAGAAGTTGAAGTTTTGGGGGGCATTTGCACTTTTTTAGAAAATTCGCCTATAGTTGCAAATTTTCCTTTTATTTAAATAGGAAGGCATATTGATCATTTTATTCCAAAAAAAGTGAAAATGACTTTCAACGCAAAGAAAGGTGAAAATATGGGCAAAAATGTCAAAAAATGAAAGGTATGAATATTTTGTGTCAATTACCCTAAATAAATCTATTAGTTGTGATATACATGTTTTACAATCGAAATTTAATTATGACTTCGTAAATGTAAATTAGGACGACAATTTTTTGCTCGGCAGTTATTATTACAAGGTGCATTAGCCAATTATTTTCTCCAAAGCTTCTTATGTTTTTTATTTTCCATGGCAAAAATTCGTCCAAGTTTGACGTCGATAATCTAGAATGTTCGACATAGCTTAAAAAGTTTCCTTATAAATAAGTTTACTTATGAGTAAATGAGTAATTTTAAAATAACTAATTGTCATTAGTTAAAGTTAAAATTACACGGTTATCTATTTTACAATGATTTCAAACATATTTTTTTATTTAAAATTAAGAAAAAAATTTAACATATTTAAATACATTTGAAAACAAGAAGTTATTTAAAAATAATTAACTTTATACTTTTCTTAAAATCAACAAACATGAAGATAACCTCTATGGGAAATTGGACAAAACCTCAATATAACTAGTCACTACTTAGGGTTAGTACTGCAAAGATAAAATTTAGGTGGAAAGAAAACGAATTCCAAGGAATTGTTTTAATGGGAATTGTCAATTAATAATATTTGATTGATATAATTTTTCACATGAAAAATGTTGAAATAAAAATGTCTTTTGATATTTGTTTGACTTTATTTTTCATGAAAATTGTCAATTTAAGGGATATCTATTTCAACAGTTGCTCATAGAATTTGTCTCAATTACCAAAAAAAAAATCAATATGAAAAACATCTATATTTTGGTGTTTGTTTAGCTTTATTTTAAATAAAAATTGTCAATAATTGTTCTTAAAATTTGTTCCCATTGCCAAAAATAAAATAAAAAAACACAAAAAAAGGTGGAAAACCAATATTCACCGACCAAAATAAGGAAAATGCACGTGTGAGGAAAATATGAAAAATGAATTCCATGGAAAAATTTTGCAATCAAACCCTAAAAAAGTTGGAAAATGAAAAACACTCCATGGAAAATATCCCTAATTAAACAGGGCCTTAGTGTTTTTATATGCACGAAGGGTAATACGAGAATGGAGTGTTGTCAATAATTGGGATTATGTTGAGAATAAAAGTTAACTTTAAGAAATCATCAATATTTATGTTAGTATTTAGACAAGTATTATGATTAATCTATAACTACCTTCTTGCGATAACTTTGAAGTGTTGCAAACTTGACTAATCTTTCTGAAATTAAAAGAACACGTATAATCAGGGGTGGAGCCCCATTAGGTCCAGTGGGGACAGATGCCCGCACTGAACTTTTGGGCTCCACTAGGCCCAAAATAATTTTTTTTTTGTTAAAGCCTGGTAAAGCTCGGATCAATGTCACAAAAGCCCAATTGCCCCAACCCATGACCCGTTTATAACCCAGACCCGGTTTCGTTCAAATCAAAACGATTTCATTCAAATCAAAACCAAACCCTTCACCCTTGCTGAGCTTGAATCGCGTCTGTATCGATCGGCCGACCCTCGCTGCTTCTCGCAATCTCGCCAGTCGCCACTCTAACTCGCAGTCGCCGGCTTTTAGACTGTAGTTCCCGTCCATCGCCAAGTGCCAACTGCCGTGAAGAAGAAGAACTGATACTTACTGTCATACCGATTCACTAAAGATTGGAGTCTAGAGAAGCCCGAAACTGCCAGAGCCCAGAAGAACGAAGAAGGTGATTTCTATTTCGATTTAATTTTCAATTTCAACCTCCAATTTCTTGTAGCAAAATTGCACACTATATGAAAAACAAATATACCCAAATCATGCCTGATGTTCTGTGATTTCCAATTGGGAATTTTCAGTGAGACAAAAAGGATTTTTGGACTATTTCTTGTTATAATATATTCGTGTGTATAATGGGATGATGATTGATGACATTCTTGCTTAAGCTCCGTTTCAGAGAAAGAAAGCCTAGAATAAAGCTGCACTAGATAAAACGGGAAGAAATAAAATTGGCAAAATGTGTATAAGAACTACTTTTTGGTATCTTGTTTACATTAATTGTCAATAAGCACCATAATATATGTATGTAGTATGCTCAATTGTTTTTTGTGTAACAATTTTATCTTGACATTATTTTGCTTTTGGTATGGTAGGATGGAGATGAAGTCAACTATCAATTGAGACATAACAGTAAAATACAAAGTCTGTGAAGGAAATAATTTGGAATACAAGTTATGAGGTTTCTTTAACACGGACAATATTTTGAGATTATTTGCCTCCATAACTCGTCTGATGAGTTTCTTTAATACAATATTTGAGAAAATTGTCAACTAGTTACCGTTATGAAATTTATTCTTTGGAGAAAGTTTGCTTTGTTCAACGTTTTTTTTCAATTTGTATCTCAAAGAAAAGTACTATATGCCTTTTGCTGGCACTACAAATTATATTTCCTTCAATATTCTTGCACCATGATTATTTGATTATGGAATGACATACCTAATCCTGTTTAACTGATTTGATTAGAAAGATTGGAATGGATGATGAAGATTGCATTGATGTCTTTAATCATCATTCTGAAGGTGGCTACTACTTGGCATTGACTCTGGCATAGGCTTGAAAAGCAGGAAAGCTAGTAGCATTTGAAAGTACTTTGAATCGACCCATACTTTGTGTTTTAGAGGATAAATAAATAATTTTTCCTTGAGATAGAATCTTAAATGATACAATAGACCCTACACATGGTGGATTAACTATGGTAGCAAATCCTAGTTCCTTCTCCTAACTTTTCACGTTACATGCTTTCCCATTTGAAATTGGATTGATAATGTGAAATTGTGAATTGGATTGTGAAATAGTATAAATTGCATTGTAATTGGAAAGTGAATTGATATTGTGAAATTGGATTGATAATGTGAAATTGTGAATTGGATTGTGAAATGTGAATTGCACTTGCGAATTGAAATTGTGAAATTGTGAATTTATGATCCTTTTGTTATTATGAATTATTCTCACTCACTTCAAGTAATAACTGGATATCAAATGTTTAAATCCAGATATCAAATGAATAGATACTTTCAACGAAAGATGAACGTAGATAGTGTTGATGAGGGGGTATCGAATAATGTGGATGTTAATGAGGGGGTATCAAATAATGTGGAGTTTGATGTCACGAAACTTCCAACTGATCTTGGTTTAAGGATACTCATTTTGGATTATAATGCTAACATCCGAGATGAAGTTCGAAGAGCATATATGTTAAAGGGTCATTGTCAGCCCCAAGATCATGACTTTCCAAAACGATAATTTGGAGTAACAATTAGACGATTCAATCCTTCGTGGTTTAAAGAGTTCGGTAGTTGGTTGGAGTGCTGCTTATTGTTTGTATTGTTATCTTTTCAAAACAAGTTCTGGAAAGAAAGGTGGAGGTGAGTCTTTTGTTGGCGAAAATTTTACATATTGGAAAGATAAAAAAAAAATGCTTTATACCTATGTTGGACTTCATGATAGTGCATATAATCATGCTCGCATTAAGTGTGAAGTATTGATGAATCAAGAGCAACACATTCAATCAGTTTTCTACAAACAGTAAGAACAAGCAAGAAATGCATATGTTACGGGCCTTAATGCATCCATTGATTGTGTTCGAGTTCTTTTGCGACAAGGGCACTCATTTCGAGGTCATGATGAATCTGAGGATTCTCTCAATCCAGGTAATTTCTTAGTGCAATTGCAATTTTTGGCTGCTCATAATGAAGTTATCAATGCCGTCACATTGGAAAATGCTCCTCACAATTGCAAATTGACATCACCTGATGTTCAAAAGGATATAGTAAATATTTGTGCTATTGAAACGATCAATGTTATTATCAAAGATGTTGACGACTCACTATTTTTTATTCTAGTTGATGAATCTTGTGATGTGTTAATGAAGGAGCAAATGTCTATTATTTTACGTTATGTAGACAATAGTGGGCATATCAATGAACTCTTCATAGGGATTGAACATGTTAAAGTACCACGACTCTATCACTTAAGGCTGCAATTGACAAGGTATTTTCAAGATATAACTTGAGTATGTCTAGATTGAGAGGACTAGGTTATGATGGAGCAAGTAATATGCAAGGTAAGTTTAATGGTCTGAAAACACTCATTTTGAAGGAGAGTCCATGTGCCTTTTACATTCACTGTTTTGCTCATCAACTCCAACTTGCGCTTGTGGCTGTGGCAAAGAAGAACATCCCTATTACTAACTTCTTTCGTGTGGTTGGGAACGTGATAAATGCTGTTGGAGCATCTTCCAAACGTTGTGATCCTTTTCGAGAAAAATAATTAGACTTTATTGTTGAGGCATTGAAAAAAGGTGAGATTTTAAGTGGACGGGGACTTAATTAAGAAACGACCCTTCAGCGCTCTGGTGATACACGATGGAGTTCACATTATAATTCTTTGGTCAACTTGCTTGCCACGTTCTCTTCTGTTTTAGATATACTTGCAATGATTGTCGAAGATGAATCTTGTTCTTGTGATCAAAGATCTGATGCAACAAATTTATTGGAGTTGATACAAAGATTTGATTTTGCATTTAATCTACAGTTGATAAGAAGTGTGTTGGGGATGTCAAATGAACTGTCAAAGGCATTGCAAAGAAAGATCAAGATATTGTGAATGCAATGCAATTGGTGAGATTGTGCAAACGACGACTCCAAATAATGAGAGACGAAGGGTGGGACTCCTTTTTGGAAGAAGTATGTTCTTTTTGTCAACAACATTACATTCATGTACCCAACATCGATGATATATTTGTACACCTTGCAATTTGTGGTCGCCCTCAGCGTAGTTATCCAGAAATTACAAATTTACATCATTATCGAGTAGATTTGTTCCTCTGTCATCGATTTGCAATTTCAAGAATTGAATGATTGTTTCTCAAAGGTAAATACAGAGTTACTCCTTTGTGTAGCTTGTTTATGCCCACAAGATTCATTTTCTTCTTTTGACAAGAAAAGTTTATTAGACTTGCTGAACTTTATCCATTAGATTTCTCTGCAGTAGATGACATTGTATCTAGCGATCAATTTGAGACTTATATTTTTGACATGCACTCTAACAAAGAGTTTGAAGAGTTGAATGGCCTTGGTGATCTTGTGGAGAAGTTAGTTTTGACAAAGAAAGATAAGGTATATCCATTGGTTTACAGACTTTTGATTTTAGCATTGATTTTACCGATTGCTACCACTACTGTGGAGAGAGTTTTTTCTGCAATGAGCATCGTAAAGAATAGATTGCGCAATCGGATGAGTGATCAGTGGATGAATGATAGCACTATTGTTTATGTAGAGAGAGATATGTTTTTGAAGCTCAATCATGAAGTTATTGTATAACGATATTAAAATATGAAAACTTGCAAGAAACAAGTTTAATATATAAATTATGTCTTTTTTAGTGTTGTTGTAATATTTTTTTATTTTTTATCATCATTAAATCTATGACCAAAACCTCAAAATTCGGCGTCGAAAAATAATGTCCGCACTGAACATAAATCCTGGCTCCGCCCCTGCGTATAATTGAGTAAAAATTTCTCTCTTTATAAACTTGGTATTCTAACTCTTATCTTCTATCTCTCATTTTGAACATAGCTTCTAACTTAAAAGCAGAAGAATCTGCAAATCGCATGACCAAAAGATCTGCAAAGGCGCATCATCTTCCTGTATCTGCTCAATCATGCCACACATCCAGGCTCAAATTCGACTCGAATCCAGATGAGACACGTGTCAATGAGTGATTGATCAGTTTGAAAAATTAAAATAAAAAAAATCAATGATTTTCTAACACATCAATATATCTCTTCACTCCCTGTTTTTCAATCTGACTAAATAGTTTTAGTCCCCGTTTGACCCCCATTTTTGGATAATGAAAATGGGAGGAATAATTTTTTTTTTTTAAAAATGAGAGGTTGAAAAAGAAGGAATTTTTTTTGATTTACGTGTAATATTATTTTATGAAAGATTGTGTAGTTGAAAATATGAGAGAGAAAAATAGAATGTAATGAAATGTAATTTAAGGGGAGCCAAACGGGGGCATATTCTTATATGCTTATGAAGTGTGGGGTCCGCAATTGGCTCATCTCAGACCTCGCAGCTTCATAAGATTGCACCTTCTGGCCAAAACAAGTTATGTTTCCATTTATTAATATTTGCGTATTTACCTGTAATTAAATTCTTTCAAAATCAATTTTCCTTCTCAACTAGGTTGGGCATTTTTGTTTGGAACCACCTGATCCAAACCATATGAATAGTTGTGCCTTGGTTCTCGATTCAAGCCACATAACCAAAATTTGATTAAGTTCCCTTTTTTATTTACCTGTCAATTAAATTATAATTCACATGTATTTATATTAATTAATGTAGCGAGAGTAATATCAATATGTAGTTTTTATTTTGAAATAGAAAGCGTGAAACTTAAACGAGATATTTTACGTAAAAATTTATAATTTATTTGTGAAACTTGAAAGAATCGAATCGGACCACATCACAACCAATTAATCGGAGTTCAAACTTGTTCATTTTTCGTTTAGACTCAATAGCTCTATTTTCACAGGAAAAAATTTGGTTCGATTTTCTAAATATGTTTTAGGTACGTAGCTATGGGCCCTATTTGTAGAAGTGAAGTTCTGCACTTCCAACTTGTTTCAATACGTGAGTTTGAATCTCACGCAACTGGAACATGCACATTAAAATTGCTTTAGACTTTTAGTTAAATTGGTGAGAGAATAAAACTGGACGTCGAGGCCCCTGGGCGTCCAGCACGTCTCTTGGTGAGAAATGTTGATAGACATAGTCCTGCTTGATTTAAATAAAAATAATTTTTTATCAAAATTTATAAATTGTGATGAGAGGTTAGAAATCATACCTGAATTCTTAAAAAAATTTAAGCTTAACAACGTGCCACGCCATCCTTCGCAAAAGCGCAAATAAAAAAAATAAAATAAAAATAAAAAAGAAAGGAGGAGGGAAAAGCTTTTTTACCAAATTCATACGGATACTGACATGGTGAAATCTGATTTGCCTACTTTTTGTATTTTTTTCA